CCCCCCCCAAATCCAGGAAATTCAGCTACTAGTGGAACATGGGATCAGGTAAGTGGGAGGGGAGAAAGAGGAAGGCAAGTTTTGTTAAGTTCTATAAATAAGATGTATCTGCATGAAGCCTTGCAAAGAATTCAGAATTTTCATTTGTCACGTAAGGCCAACATGCAGCCAGTTCACCTTGTCTCTTCTGTATGTCTCCTTGTAAAACATAGCGGGGAAAAGGAAGTTTATATGAAATCATTCACTTGGGTTTTTAGCACCAAATCCATTTCATAGGTTCTAGGGCACCCATGTCCCACATGAGGCTGATTGCTCTGCCCTTCTGAAACTGTCTCATTCCACATTGAGCTATTTTATACTTCTGTTTCACATTTTGGGAAATGCATGAAGGGGTTTTTTTTGCATGAAAACTGGCTGGTTTCACTGCCAATTTCATGCCTGCAATAAGCAGCATTTCACATGGCTTTTCTGTTCAGCTCCAGGCCCAGAAACAAATGAGAAAGGAGCAGGCTCTCAGCAAGATCCAGCTGAAAAGCTGTTGGTTTGTGGAGGGTGGGGTACCCAGAGAAAAACAGAACCATGGATAAGATTATATAAATAACTGTTGTTTTTCTTGGCTTGTGCAATGCAGATCAACACTTGAATGAATGTTGCCTTACATACATTTTGGAGCACAATGGCACCTTGTTGTTGCTTTGAAACTTTGTTGAAAACCTGAAGCCAAGAAAAAGTTATCACGCAACTGAGCAGAGTTCTGCACCAGGAGAGTTTCGCTGACGACTCTGCCACAAAACATTGCTCCAGCATTGCTCTGAAACCTGCAGTGATTAATGAGAGCTTTTAAGGATTACTCCAACTTCATATTCTTTCATATGGGTCACTCAAAACCTTGTTAGGGTTTGGTCAGGTGGGGTCAAAATGTTTTAGAAATGCTCTACCACTTTCCTCAAATATTTTTGGGTTATTGGACTCACATTCAACAACTCTTTAACCGCAAGCTGTAAAATTATATTGTCCCTACAAAAAAAGAGATACTGGAATAATTATTTAATTTATTTTAGATAAAATGAACTTTGCTCTGTCAGCCTTCATCATATCATCTCTTAGCTTCAAGTACATGTGTAGGGGGACAACCAGCGCCAAAGGCTCTGGAGGTTTTTTTGCCTGCAAGGTGAAGAATCAGATTCATTGCAGAGTGCCATGACTTATCTCCTATTTAAATATTATGAAAAATAAGAAAGACCTCAGGATGTGATTCTTGGTAGGCACATGTCACATATGGTACATATATACTATAACTAAACAGTCTCTGGAGACATAGGAAGAGAACTTTAGATTCATTGATAATATTCAAAACTAGCTTTACCCAGAACTCAACTCAAAGTTAATCTGCTTCAAAATGAGGCCATAAATTCTTCTGAGATAGAGAAAATGACCCAAAACACACATGGGGGTAGAAATTGTCCTCATGGAGTATTTAGAAAGACTGATACCCATGTGTTTCTGTATTTAAGGAAGAGTTGAAGTTGCTCTGTGGTTGGTAGCAACATGGCCCTGGACCCAGAGCAATGCCATAGGATAACACAGAGAGGACTATCTGTTGGAGGGAACCTTTGGTGTACTTAGTCCAGATCCTGTTTGGAACACAGCCAACTCTGCAGCTGGATCCCAGGTCAAAGTCAGAGCAGCTTGCACAGGGCTGTGTCCAGCTGAGTTTTGAAGATATCCAAGGATATATTGACAGATGTAAAAAGAAATACCCAATCTCTCTAAATTCATCAGCCTGCAGCTTCATGCTGCCTGGCTCACAGTGGCTTTTACAGTCTGCAGACAGCCAAAAATCTTAGCTGTGACTGAAAGCACACCACAGCCCAAGCATAGCAAGAGATACATGCTCAGTTCCATGGTGGTATGCCCAGTGCAGCGTGTGGCACCTGGAACAAGTTCCAAATGAGACAAATCTCCCCCCCAGGAGGACTAACACATTCCATCCAACATCCCACCAGGAGGTCTACCTGAGGTGAGGAGGAAGCTGGAACTTGTTGCGCACATCGTCGATGCGCCTGCCAAGGTACGGAGTGTCCACCGTCACGAAAATCCCTCTGTATCCTGCCCTCTCTGCTCGCCTCACGAGGGATTCTGTCACCCCCCGGTCCTTGTAAATGTAAAGCTGCAGCCAGCGAAGACCAGATGGAGCTGCTTCAGCCACTTCTTCAATGGAAGAGGTGGCCCAGGAACTCAGCATCATCCCTGTCCCCATGGCCTGGCAGGCTGGAAGAATACAAATTTATATTTGAGATGATCCAAACCAGAGGTTTTTCAAAACAGATTTCCATAATCATATTAAGCCTAATCCATATCAATAATTCTTTATCCTATGGAAATCCTGTTTGTAAGCCCCTAGTGTCTGGCTGCCACTGGCCAAAAATTCTGGCATATAAATTTAAGGACATATACATACACAGAGCTTTAATAAAACTAAATTAAAATAATGCACTTCAGGCTTCCAAGTTTTTGAACACTGATACATTGCCTCCCAATATCACCTTCCCTGATGGTGATTTCCAACCTGGGCTGCACCAGCTAACCTCATACAGATATATTTTTATGAATCTATCACTTATTCTTTTCACAGTAATCTGTCACTTAATGTAAAAGAAAGGAAAACACAGTGTAAAACTCCAAAATATTATAGAAAGCCTTATTTTCCCTGGTCTACCGCAGTATGCATATTTTTGATGTAAATGGACCTCTGTTTCAAAACGTCATCTCCAGCCCATTGAGGAATTAAAAAGTGGTCTTTATGACAACATTTTATTAAATAAGCATTACAAGTCTCTTAGAGTGGAAACTTATGAACAGCTTATTCAAACAAATTGGTTACGCCCTCCCAGGGCCACCAAGCAGCTTTCCTTCACTGGAAATACAGTAGCAATGACCCAAAACTCTCTACTTTGTAGCTATTTCATTCCTCCCCTTAAAATTGCTGAAAATAGTTCCCTCTTGCAATGAAGTACTGAGAAATGAGTTTTTTTCTGAAGAAGCCGTGGAGACTGAAGGCCCAAAATCCTGTTAAAACCAGCTGTGGTGAGGCTGTCACAACTCCTGTAAGAAGCAATTTGCCAAATCCACTCTGTTCAGCGACACTAAGGAATAAAGGATCCACATTCCTCTCGCTCTGTCAAACCCGAGCTGGCGAATGAGCAGGAGGGTTGCTAACCCAGCAATTGCAAAACCCTCAGATCAGATAAGCGAGAAATGTAAATGTTATGGTTCAATTTGCCTTTAGGTATCCATTTATTTCCCTTCTTCCTTTTATCCTTAAGTCTACCTCTACAGATACAAGAATAGTTGCAAAAGCAAAAAATTAAAATAGAAAATGCACAGTAAAATAGTTTTGGTGAAGAGAAGATTTAAAACATGATATATCACCATACCTTTTCAATTTAGCTGCACATGTAGTAATAGAGCAAGTAATGCTGTCCTTTTACTTGAGATTAGATTTAAGCAGTTTGGTTCAGTCAGGGTTCAACCATCCCAAATCGGGTTATGGCATTTTCATATAAGCATCTTCCACAATTCCCCTCATCTCTGCTGTAAAGTTCACAACTCTCTGGTAAAGCACCAGCTCAACACATGTATTTTAGATATATAGCACAGGCAAATTCTAAGGTCACAAAATTTATCAAAGTTTAAGAAATTCCAGGTTCCAGTTTTGGTTGATTTATGCTTTATCTTTATCATTTTAAAGCTTATTTTGACAATTTTGTAGACTTTCAAAAACATGAGATACAGAACACTGAAGTGCTGCCACGTTTGGTTTTGGTTTTTTCTACCTCAAATTAGGTTTTGCTAAAAATATACTCCCACTTCTCACACATTTAACTGCAGTTGAAGAAAACAGAAGCAATTCATTTCCTCCAACAACCATATTTTACACTTCACTTTTGGGGTGCTGCAAATACCTCTATTTATTATTACAAATCTGAACTACTAGAGCCGTATTCCCACAGGATGCTCTTGCAGCAATGTGACATTTACCAGAGTTTAAACATCAGATATTTTTGTAAACCAGCCTTTCCTCATGCCATTTCAGATTGCTTTCAGTCTTTCTTTTCTTTCCCCCCCAGGTCTTCTTTTAATCCTCAGTGTTTGCCAAAGCATGTGTTCACACTTGTACACATTGCAGACTCCTGTTGGGGTCCATGACAGCACAGAGAGCATGGCATTAGCCACACATGGGAGGCTTGGGAAGTACATGGAATCACAGAAAGGTCAAGATTATCCTCATAATATCTAATCCAAACCTGCCCTCTGACAGCTGGAAGCCATTCCCCCTTGTCTTGTCACTCCATGCTCTCTTGTACCCTCTTTGTGTAGTGGAAGGTGCTCTAAGGTCTCCCTGGAGCCTTCTCTTCTCCAGGCTGTACAACCCCAGCTCTCAGCCTGTCTCCATAGGAGAGGTGCTCCAGCCATTGGATCACGGTGGGGTGCCTAGGAAAGGGATCTTCACAGCCTTTAATTCACAGCTGCCTTAAGCAGGCACAAGTTTCTCAGCCTCACTGGTACCTGCTGGTATTTAGTCCAGGGAAGCCAGGAGCAAGGACATATCTTCTCACTAGGGAACATAAACCTTGATAAAATGGGACTTTACTCACTTTTGAGCACTGGGTGCAGTTCTGGGCCCCTCAGTTCAGGAAGGATATTGAGTTGCTGGAGCAGGTCCAGAGAAGAGCAACGAGGCTGGTGAAGAGACTCGAGCACAAGTGCCATGAGGAGAGGCTGAGGGAGTTGGGGGTGTTTAGCCTGGAGAAGAGGAGGCTCAGGGGAGACCTTATCACCCTCTACAGCTCCCTGAAAGGAGGTTGGAGTCAGGTGGGGGTTGGTCTCTTCTCACAGGCAACCAGCAGTAGGACAAGAGGGCACAGACTCAAGCTCTGCCAGGGGAGGTTTAGGTTGGATATTAGGAAGAGATTTTTTACAAAGAAAGTAGTCAGGCATTGGAATGTGCTGCCTGGGGAGGTGGTGGATTCACCATCCCTGGAGGTTTTCAAGATGAGACTGGATGTGGCACTTAGTGCCATGGTCTAGTAACCATGGTAGGGTTGGACTTGACGATCTTTGAGATCTCTTCCAACCTGGTTGATTCTATGATTCTGTGATTCTTGGAGAACTGAAGTATTTTACATAGCTACAAGTAGGACAGGATCCACTTGAGAGATCCACTGGAAAACAGAGCAGTGACCTTTTTTTGCCCTTTTTTCATCCTGAAATCTCATTCTCTCCTCCCCCCATCTGATGGGACATCATTACGTGGTTTGGGAAAGGTATGGAATTTGTCTCTGTGGGCAACTCAGAGGCAACATACTTCAGTGGAGGACACTGGAGAAGAGCCCAGTTCAAGCTTGCATATTTTGTCAGGGTTACCTTGTATGGAAATGGGAACTTGCTGTTTTTCTCTAGCTGGGCAAATTCCCATCATTTCCCTTTTAGGGGCATCTCCAAAGCACAGCAGCCAAACTGCCCCACTGTATTCATTTTTCCCTGAATCCAACATGAATCCACTGTCCCCAGGTTAGGGGCCAGAGGACATTACTTGGGATCAACACGATGTCCTTTTGGCACAGTGGTATTTCTTAGGAGAAGCAACTGTGTTCTTGGAGCTGTATCTCCTGAGAAAGAGAGTTGTTTAAAGTAGTTCACATTACTTACTCTCTTGACAAACCACACTTGGCTGAGATAGCCCCTGCCCAGTCTTGCCTCACTCACCCCTTACAAAACACTGCGTGCAAGTTGTGCCTACGATCTCTTTGTTGACACAATGCATTTTGTCAGCTGTGCAGGAAGGCTGGAGGCTGCAGGGAGACAGATGCATGGCCAAAATGAATCTAGCTAGTCTAGGAGGGCTGTCATGCCAGGCTGCCTGTGTACACTTACAGCACGAGATCCCTTGGCCATGTCTGTCTCTGTGGGGAATCCAGGCCAGATCAACCCAAGCTGTGTTGCCCCACATGATTGTCCTCTCAATGACTCTCTAAGAGCCATACCTCAAAATTAACTTTTTGTTTTGATCACCACATGGGTAACAGGTGAAAGATGGGTACAAAGTTCTGTGGTTTTCACTGTGGCTGAGCCCCACCAAAAGCAGTAGATAACCAAATCCCTCCTTCCCAGTCACAGACAGGCCTGATGAGCACAAGGAACCCAAATTGTGATGCTCAGCAGTATCAGCAAACAAAAAGCAATGCAGCAGTCTGTTAAGAGCCAAAGGAACAAACATGTTGCTCCCTCTCCAGTGGAAATGACAAAGCAGCAGTAACTTAGCTAAAAAGGAGGGAGGAGAGGGGGAGTGGGAAGCTTTTCAGTCAATATTCTTGTTCTCTATTTGGCAAAGTAAATGGTGCAGTCACATTGCAGGTGATGGTGAAACCCTTCTCTTGTCAGCAGCAGCTCAGAGAGTGGTTTGAATGCAGATGCAGAGGGCAAACATAAAAGCTTCAGCTCTGAACAACCATCAAAGTTATCAAAAGATCTAGCCAAAAAAGTCATGTTCTCATCCTGATTTTCAGCCAGTCAGGGAGCAGTCAGGTATTGCTATGTTGCTTTTGGGTGAAAAAACAGGAATAATAAGGTCCTCAATCAGTAAAAGCATTATGGAATTAGCAGGAATATAAACAGAACAGAAATCTCAGTAAAATAATGCTAAAGATTTGTTTATAATCAATTAAGGTTGCAAAAAATTTTATTCCTGGCTAGGCAGCTGGATGGTGCACAAGGCTTTTATCAGTGTACTTGAGGTGGGTCCTGTCAACACAGGGTCATGTTGGTGTGCAAGCACAGCATGGAGTCAGGATGGCAAAGGAATGTCTTGGCATTGAGCAAGAGTGAATCTTCTGATAGACGAGCAAGAAAAACCCCACATAGAATCAAGGGTTCTGTTGAAAAGTGTTTAGAGAACAGCCTTTTGCTCTTTAATGGTGGCTAAGATTATTCATCAAATCTGGCAAATATTTTTAGTTAAAGGAGTTGAAATAGGAGTGGGAAGGATGAGAAAATTCACCTAAGTCAAAATGTCATGAGTTGATATTTTCAAAATGGAAATGTTTTCTCCTGAGCTAACGCTTTTGTTTCAAAACAGAACTATGGTTAAAAGTATTAGCCCATAGGAAAATGAAATAAAACATTGAGTTCTGGATCAAATGAAACATTTCAGTTAATCCAAAACAATTTTCGTCCCAATTTCTCAGTTTCTACTGAACAGAAAATCCATTCTTTGGAAAATTGCCACATACACTGATGAACTACAACTAAAATGCCACGGCATATGCTTGAAGGAAGACCTGGAAAAACTGGGACAACTGCCAAGGTGTGTGAATTTTTTTCAAGGACAAGAGGGCTTTCTCTATAAGGAAGGACTCCTGGTCCATTTAGGCATGTCAAAGAAAACTGAGGGGCAACATTTCTGCAGGCTGAATGGACAGAACTATAAGTGAATCCAACACCTGGATTTGAGGCTGTGCAAGTTTTGACCATGATGATAGTTTATTCTGCTTGGAGTGGGGTTAGGTAACCTTTGGGATAACTGTTGTGTTGGCTGGCCAGCTTGACACCAGCAACTTTTAGAACTACAACTGAACATTTTTCCTAGAAAAGATCCTTTATTAATCAAAGAGGACTGTCAGCAAAGGGGTGCTTAAGGCAAGCTGACAGACTCTGCCGTGTTTTGGGGAAGATGCATACTCCTCTCCACCAGCTTGGCTGATGCAGGGGAGCATCCCTCAAGGAGCAGCAGCCTCCAAAACGTCTGACAAGCCCCAAAGCAACGGGTTATGATAACGGGGATTTCTACCTAATAAGAGACACTATGACATGCCCTTGTCCCCAGACAGGACATTTATGCTGCAACCCATGGGCAAACCTGCTGGAAGAGCAGAGCTGTTCAAAGCAAGATGCTATTTCTTACAGGAATTTCTTAGTAGGAGCAGGCATCATTCTCAAAATACAAGAAGTTGTCATTGGTCCCTACACCACCCTGCTCTGCAGGGAAGGATGGTGTGAACCCAAGATTACCTCACAGAATCACAGACTCATTAAGACTGGAAAATACCTCTGAGATCATCAAGACCAACCTATGACCTAGCACCACCATGTCAACTCAACCATGGCACTAAGTGCCACATCCAGTCTTTCCTTAAACACCTTCAGGGACAGAGACTCCACCACCTCCCTGGGCAGCGTGTTCCAATGTCTCTTGGGGTTTAAGCCCATCCAGGCAGACCTGTGGCTTGTGGCACCAGCTGAGCAGCACCAAGCGCATAGAGGTGCTCCTTCAGGCAGCTCCCTTGCACCCCAGTGTGAGATAGGGCACTGGCTGGGAAGGGGCAAGATTCAGACCACACTGTGCTTTTCAAGGATTGTCACCACAGCAGACACACCACCTCATGCATAGCTTACAACCCACCTGAGCCAAAAGCCAAGCTTGTGAAGTATGCCAGGCTTTGCCAAATCCACAGAACTATGGATCAGACTTCCTTAGTTTGTGTCAATTGGTGCAGCTGAAGCAAAAGCTGAATTAAAGCAACCAACTATCTGCTAGCTTATATTTCAGAGCTATTGTAGAGTTTAACGGGAGCTGGATATAGCTAACCCCCTGATCCCAAATGTCCCAAGTTTAAGGGAACCTTTAAGCCAAATGTGTACTTGACAGTTAATTCCTGTCATCTTATAAGGTCAAACCCAAAGCTTGGCACTGAATGTCCCACTCCACCTCTAACAGCAGAAAACTGAAGCCATCCTTTCCTCCCAAAAATGCTAATGCAATACAGAGGGTGTGATTTTAGTTACACTCTCCTTTGAAAGCAATGAAAAATTCACCAACTCCAATGGATATGTTGGACTGCACCTCCCAATCGGTGCCAGCACACTGAGCTCTTCTACCTCAAAACCCCAAGAACATTAAATGCAATAATCATGTGTTCAAGTTTGAAAATGTAAGTGCACAAAAATCAGGAAATTCCAAAATTAAGCTATTACCACAACCGTAACTCAGCCCTGGTAGTCAGCCTTATTGTACCACTGGACTTTACATGCCATTATGGATTTATGTCTTAAAATATGTCTTGGCTGCAGCATCAGTAGGAATTTTTGCTAAGAAACATCCTGAATTTTGTGTGTTTCAAATCTCGCTCTTCACATGGCATTAATATATTTGCACTGAACAGTATAATGCCTCAGAGTTTCCTCCCTGGCTCAGAATGAACCCGCGAGAGCTGCCAAAGGACAGGACAGCACAAAGGCTCCCACCGGCCCTTCGCAAGCCCATTCCAAGTGTTGGAGCTCCACCGTGTGGAATGTGCCGGCACAGACAATAGGCATAACAGCACTGACTTCCTGATCAGTCTCTTGAGGAAGGGGGAAAATGTGCCCCCAAGCATACTATAAAATTAGAGAGACTTATTTTCGCAGAGATTTCTGCTGGAGTCGTGCTGTAACCCATCACCGTGCACATTGCAGCAACGTGGTTGCTTAATGAGAATTGAGAGCAGCTCCCAATACAGGGCTGATAATTATACTCACTTCACACTAGTATTTGCTGCATTGGTCACGGATTAGATGAATAACTCCACCATGCACAGGATTTATTTTTTTAAAAAATATCACCCATTTAGATTTTTTATCCTTTTCCATGTGGTGCTGAAGCACTGAAACGCACAGCTCAGACCTTGCCCTCAGATTTTAGCTCATTCTGCAGCTTGGGTTAGAGAAGTATGAAACAGTTTCTCATCTGAATTCTGTTTACCATCCCATTTCTCACAGCCTTTTAGGCTGCAGCCTTCATGCTGGCACCATCTTTGTGCAGCTTCTAGCCCAGAGGGGCCCTTATCTCACTGCCTCCTTGGGATGCTCTCAAAGAGCTCGCTTCAAAGCAAGGATTTTTCCCAGAAAAGCAAAGGCTTCTGAGTTTCTAGAGGCAATTCTCTAAGAGGAAAAATGTTGCTGTGACAATACATATCATTATATTTATAAAATGTATGTATGGATGGATAGATAGATATAGATAGATAGATTCTATGTGGCTTTCAATGCTATATGTGACAAATTATTCCCCTCTTGCAAACTGCATTTCTCATCTCTGTTTCATTAAGAGTGAGAACCTGCACTCAAAACAGTAAAATCAAACCCAGAAATCAACCTGGTTACTCTGAGCAGCAACTCAAACCCATCCTGGACATGGCATAAGGAGCAAGAAACCAAACAGTCAGCAGGCACAGCAGTGCTCTGTCCATCCCCACCCCCCTGTGGGGGACTTTGCACGGTTTACCTTTGGCGGTCGCCGTCTCCCCGTCCGCGTGAGCCATGCGCTGCATGGCGGTTGCTGCAACACACACCGGCATGCTGACCCTCTGCCCCAGAACTGAGGTGGACAGGTCCATCACTGACACATCCCTGAGCACCCTGGGGTACAGCTTCCATCTGACACGGAGACAGAGAAAGAGAATTAAAAAAACCCTGCAGCACCAGGAATGTTTACAGTTCTTAATGGACAAGTGCAGGTTTTCCTGCTGTCCCATGGTGAAATCTGTGTTGAGACTGGAGCAGAACCCCACTGTGTGATTCCCAGAGCTGCAGCAGGAACCCTAGAAGGCACAAAGCCTGGAGGAAGCAGACAAGGAGGTACTGAAGAGCTAGGAAAAATAAAAGATGCAGAGCCCTTGAACATTATTGGTTGGTATCATTTAAAACTAAAGACAGGAACTGCAAAATAATAAAAGTTCACAGTGAGTCTCAACCTCTCTGAAAGCTTTGGGGCAGAACTGGATGACAGAGGGTATGTGAGAACAGGAAAAGTCATTGGCCCTCCTCAGTTATTCCTTCTATGGACTAGGGAGCCAAGACACAGGATTTTTGGATAGCACTAGGCTTACCAGCATGTTTAGCACCCCTTTCCCTGTGCAACAGATCTCTGCAGTGAGACTAGGCAGAAATGAATTCCCACATGGGAAGCAGGTGGGCAGGATGGCTGCCCTGGTTTTGCCCAGCACAGGTGTGGAGATCCCCTGCACCACAGCTCTGCTGGCACAGAGACTGAGTCACTTTGCTCGAGGCAACACATAGTCCCTGGGCCAACAGCTGCAGCCCAGGGACAGTTCATCCTACTACAGGGACTTCAGGCTTCCAGGGAAAGCCCAAACACAGCCACTGTAATTGGGTGCAGGAAAAGACCAAGTCACACAACTGCTTTCCAAATAGGGTCCTTGAATGATATGGCCTGTCATCTGCTCAACCATTCCCAACCCTGCTTTGCCTTCAGTGTGTCCACCAGAAACCACATCAGCCCAGAGCCAGGATTTATTCTCCACTCGGATTTTCAGCCTGGATACAGGTGGAAGGTGACTCCAAAACAGAGCAAACTAAACAATGCTTAATCTGAAATCACACTTTATTGCAGTCAGGCTGGACAGCACATGCCTGCACACACAAAGATTTATCTTTGTTTTTCTCCAAACCAAACAGCATTGCAAAAGGATCACAGTCCCCATTATGGGATCGAATAGATAACACCACAACATCCAAGCTTTTATGAAGAGGGTTGCATTCCTTGGGGATACCTGTAAAACAGGACTTGTTCCCACCATGCAGGCAATATTACAGCACAGTCACCATCACTAGAAGCCACAAGAGGGTGTGCAGTAGCAGGGGCTGCCTCTCGGAGGCCAAAACGTCTCTGCAAGCATCAGCCTCTCACTGAGGCCTCCGTCCTTCTGGGAAGGCTACTGAATTTTAATTACAGAAAAGAATGCAAAGCTGTAGCTCTAGCACTGCTGAATTTGACCAACTGCTCAGCACTAGAATGCTCAAGACTGGTAATTATTAGCATGAAGATAGACCCAGAGCCACCATTACCCTCCAACTACAAGTAGTGGTTAGATTGGGCTTGCATACTAAAGTGACAAGTCAGGGCAAAAAGGCAAGACAAAATATCTCTGTTTTATAGAAAGATCAAGAGCCATTTCCCTCAGATGCCTGGGACAGAGCCAGGACAAGACCCACCTTTCTGAAGCCCTAGAGCAGAGGGCTGGGCCAGCTCTCCAGGAAGCACTCCCCAGGGAGGAGTATAGTTATGATGCCTGTAGCAGTGGGAGTCAGCTGTGCTGTTCAATGCCAAGACACACACGGCAAGTATGTCTCCTCAGACTTGTTTTCATGCTATTGTATTGGTTTGTTATTTTTCAGAGGAGGATGGGCTGAGGGTGGGTACAAAGGCAACATAATTTTTTTCTCCTCCTTGCTTCCTAATCCTCATTCCGAAGACTTCCACTCAGCTCACAGACACTTTTTCCCCACAAAGAAAACAAAAATGCTTTTGTAATCTTGGGTCTTCCCCAGCCTCCTGGTTTCTCTGCTGTCCCAGGCCTGTCAGATTGTTACCTAGTACAAGTCACTGCCAGCTCAAAGCCCATGTGGGTCAGTCCTGAGGTACAACATTCCTGTAGTACTTTTAGCTGGGAAAAGAAACAGAAGCAGCAAAAATTCTCCCAACAATGCATGCAAGAATAATGATGCAGTTCAAAGTGGTGATACTTTATCAGGTGACATCCTCTCCATCAACATCCAGTCACTATTCCTACCTGAGTATTTATTTACTGGGTCCCATGAAACATCAAAAGGGATCACTACCCAAGTGTCCTCCTCCTTTAATAAAACCTGATCTTGCTTTGGAAACCTTGGTGTTTCCAGCTGTGAGTTTACCAGACACTTGAATCAAGGCATTTTCTGGACAAGACATAGGGAAGTCCCAGAAACCAGAGTACATGATCATTCAGCTGCCACAGACCACCTGCTTCCTCCAAGTCCTTCAGTGAAATTATTTTCTGGCTTTTTTATATAAAACTTGGATTTACTTTTTTTTTATTTTTTTAATTCATCACCTCCTCCTCACTCACATCTTTTTCCAGCCAAGTCCACACTCATGTGCTGCAATCAGCAAGTAAGACTTAGTGCATCTTTTTTCCCAGCTGGAAGCAGGAGATGCTGCACTGGGGAAGGCAGGGAGCACTCGTTGCTTTCAGCTGTGCAAAACATTGACATTTTCAAAGTGCAACACATTTTCAAGCAGCTCTTCTTGTTTCCCTTCTGAGCCTGGCCCAAATAATCCCTTCATGCTGCAGGACAAGGACACACTGCTCAGGCAAAGTCTCCATCCCAATCCCAACCCAATTTGCTGCCTTCATCTCCCCTACAGCTCTACTTCTCATCAGAAGGGACAGGGGCTGGTGCTGTTCCAGGCTAACCAATAGCTGCTTTTCCTTGAGGAAAACTGATCTTCCCTCCTAGGGCAACTTGCCATCCACACTCTTCTCATAGCACTCTGAATCCAAGGTGAAAGACATCTCAGCAATGTAATTAAATTATTATTACAAACATTCCTTTCCTTTCTCCCCCTACAATTTCTCAGGCTTCTCTGACCCCAGTCACACTCTCAGCTTACTCTTTTGACCAATATTTCCATGATATATGTGCCTGTTATTAGTGCCTTTAATTGCTACAAGGTAACAATACATTTGCAGAAAACCCACATGAATGCTGTCACTGATGAAGAAGAGCTGCTGTTCCTTGCACACCACAAACCAACACAGCTTCTCCAAGGGCTGCCAGGGATTCCGGAGCGTGTCACAGCAGATTAGCAGGAGCCTGTTTTTCCACATGTAGACGTTCCTCTTCATTACCATGCTGAGAGGGGAGATTGCAGAATGATTTCTTGAATGCCATCGAGCTAAAGGTGTCCTGACCTTGTCATAGAAGTTTATTCTCAATTCAGGCCCTTTGGTTCCTAGACAACTCGAGAGTAGATTTAGGTGCCAGATGGCACAGGGCTAGGATGGCACATGGCATTCCAGGATGCAGAGCAAAGGCAATGTGAAGGCAGTCACATGCCACAGGGAGCAATGTACACAATTACATCCCAAATCATCTTTTCTGGCCTTAATGCCTCCCTTATGCCAGGGCTGTCTCCACATCAGTTAAGGACTATGAATAAAAATATCTGTCTGGCCATAGTAGGAACATACTGATGCTGATATGCAAGTGCCAGTTCTTCCCTCAGTCCCAGAAGAACTGAAAGGCTGGAAGAGAATCACTGTATCTGGTATTAACCACATCTCAAACACTGGCCTTGTGGAGAGTTTGTAGTCTGGTATCTGATTACACAAAGTACTTAAAGCTCCAGAGCTGTCAAAAGGCCAAGACAATAATTTTAGCATCTAGCAAGTATGAATTGTGCTGCTCCAAAAATGGCATGGAGCATTCCAAAGCTATTGTGGGATCTAGGAATGCAACCATCCATTAAGGTTAGTTATTAATAATATTAGTCCTTAATAATAATCTGTCTATTCCTCCGGAAATACAAGCATTCTATGATGTATGTATCTATGAATACTTAAATAAACTGCAAACATTTTGAATTGGGCTGAACTCCGCAACTAAGCCTCTGACAGGGGAAATCAATAGGAAACGAAGCTGAACATACCCATATCTTTTACAAAGTAATCTGACTTTGTGATCTTTGGGACTCAGGGGTATAAAGTCCATCTTACTTTATATTTACCCACAAGCTGCACTCAGGAACAGGCACAAATCCAGCAACATGCTCAGAGACACACCAGGACTGTGTGAGGGTCAGAACGAACAGCAGTCCTGCATCCATAGCAGTTGGCTGTGCCACTTCCAACAGCATCAAAAAGAAAAAGATTTTATAAGTTGCTTGTGTCAAACAGGTCTTAGAAACCAAAATATATGAAGCCTTTATAGCAGGTTTGTACCTTTTAGAGATGTGTTGCCAGCAATCCATTGCAAACACAGTCTAACTTAACAGCAGCATCCCATGTGCCAAGAAAATAGGATCTTGTTTTCGTCAACACAAATATAGAAAGGGAAGGGGAGCACAGACAGAAAGACACCTTCCAGCCCCTTCATCCCTGCACTCCTGAGGAACAGGAACACAGCATCAAGGGACTATTAGCCACACCAATTTTCATTTACTTCTTCTAATGCATCAGGCCATTCAAGTCACTGCTAATGAACATCTTCAGTTCCACGCTGCCTGCAAGCTCTGCAGTTTTGAAAACCTAAACCTAGAGGCTCTTCCTGAAAACATGATGCAGGAAAGATGAGGTGAGCCTGAACCCCACAAGTGACCAGCCCACTACAAGGAGGTCTCTTAGAGGAATCTGCCTCTGCTGTGGGAACCAGATTCAGAGCAGAGCTGCCCTTACCTCACTGCCAACATCCAGCTCTGCTAATACCAACACAGCAAGGGGACAGATCCAGCTCTGTGTTAGCCTGTCTCTGGGACGTTTAGATCCAACTTAATCATGATTAGCTCCAGCAGTTACAAGTAAAATGTTCACTACTTCCAGTTTATTGCCTCCGCATAGTTCCTTTGAGTGTCCTTTCCTTAACACCTCATTTAGTTTTTATGAGGGCAAATAACATCATAGCATGTGGAAGTACTAAAAAAGATAAAATAAAAATCAGGTGAGCACTACTACATCCTCTCCTGCTCCTACTTATTCCTTGGAGCCAGAGCAATCCTTTGGTTTGTGTTGGAGCAGGGGACTTCCAGTCTGTGATGGCATCTTCTGCATGCAACAGAGACCTGGAGTAAGTAAGTTTTCTTCTCTTGCTATTATCAAGTTTTTCTATATGTGTCCTTATAATTAAGGTCCTGAGCTGATTTCTGCAATCCAACCTTTGAGATCCTGCTAAAGGAATTATCACTGCATTTCCTACAACCTTCAACTTCCACAGGATTTCCAGTTGAATTGCTCATAACCTATGGCAAAGCAACTGCAAGAGTAAGTACGATTGCTGCTCTACAGCAGAAAAACAAAGTGAGGAGGGAGAAACAATAAAGATCAATTAGAAAAATCTTGTTTTGGTTTGTTAGAGGGATTAAAGATGAAGCCTTTGGAGATTAGCAAAGACAAGTGCTGGGGGATTATAAATGTCTGCACCAACACAAACACTAAAAGGAAAGATACGTCAACAGCTGTTTCAGCAGCTCAAATGGGCTCAGCTGGGCTGAAGGGAGCAGCCTCCAAGCTGCCTCCTTCCCTCTGCAGTACCTGGGGAGATTTAGGGGTGAGAACCAACCCATGTGACACTTTGACCAAACCCAACACCAAGTGCCAATGGACTTCGTGTTGACCTTGTACTTTTGAGACAAAAGGTGACCTGAGCCCAGGTTTTGACAAAAGTTCAGGGCATTGGTCTAAGTCAAAACTGGTTTATAATAGTTCCCATCACTTACAATATTTCTAGGTGAAGTGCTGACCTCCTGCTGTAAACTGCCTGAGCACAGCTTACCTACCCAGGGCTGAGCCCTGGATTTCCTGGCTCACCCCAGAGCTGGGAAATGCAACTCATTTCTGCTGGGCCTTGCAGCTCCAATCCAGTAATGCTGCTGAAGCACTCACCAGGGAAGACTGTGGAACTAATTCCATTTAGGAGGAACAAGTAAAAGGCAAAACTGACTTAGGACTTAAAAATCTCAACCCCATCACTCAACCCCTTGCTGGCTCTAAGCCCAGAATGTAGAAACTACGGTTTCATTGGCTGATTAAATATTGGAGCCAAAAGACTCTTTAGAAAATTTCTGTTAACAAAAGAACCAAAGCCAAAAAGAGACTAATGGATTTTAGGGACTGCTTTTTGACAGAACATGTTAGGTGGAGGAGTGGAAGGGGAGAGACAGTTGATCTGAAAAATCAGTTGAGACTTTTTGCTAAAAAAAAAAGTTTTTTGTTCATACAGAAAAATCTAAAATTGCACCACATCTACTAAAAAAGCAGAACTTACACCCCCTACCTCCCACCCCAGCCTTCAATCATCCTCCTACCTGGAAAATGCTGCCACATTATCTGCCAGTGTTTGCTGGTCATCTGCTCCAGATCGGTAATAATCATACACAGCCTTGGGGAGAAATGTTTTGGCATGCTCTTCAAAATCAGCAATGCAGACTGGTTTTCCAGGCATGGCTGCAGGTCTCCCAGGGTTAGGTTATTCCCACTTCCCTCTCTTTTTAAGCTCTGCATTTCTATCTGTAAATCATTAATATGGGACCTCATCAGGATTCAACTTACCTATGTGTCCCCCCCCAAAAAAAAATAAATAAAACCACCAACTTCTTGTGTCATGTTGGACTTCAGCACCATGTTTTACTTCACGTGGTCAAGGCCAACCTAGGACATACTGGAATAAAACATGGTAAAAAGAAAGAAAAATAATAAGCAAGGAAAGATACATCGGTGCAGCACGAGTTAAACCTGCAATAACAGCAGCATACAGTCCCTCCTGTGTCATCCAGAAGATCCTATGATCATCCAAAATATCCAGGGCACTGAAACCAGAAAGGGTTTGTTTATGCCCAAAAGGAAAATCTTGACTTAGATGATTTATAAAAGCCAGTCCCAGCCTGGACATTTAGGACAACACCTAACACATGTGAGGTTGCAGTTATTCCCATTAAAATCTTGGATACTGAGACAAGTTGCAGGGACACAGCTGCCAGGCAGCTCAGGGATCAATACATCCTTGGGCAAATGGCTCCTGATTTTAGGGTAATTCCACCTCCACAGCCCAGAGAGCTCTAGTTATTCTTAAAATATTACCATGTCAGGTGCACTCATCAGCTGGAAATAAAATTAGCTTGTCAAAGAGACAACACTCATTCAATGTGTAACAGACTTGGTTAACATTTCCTGATTGAACCTTGACTTAAATTTTAACAAATGGATGTAATATGCAACAGGTTTACAGTGTTTGTTTGATGGGGAAAACTGAGAAGTACATCACATGTGTATGTAATTCAGTTTTCCAGCTGTGCACTGCAAATTAATGCCACTATCCACATAATTACACCACAAGGCATTTACCACCTATCAGTGTCAGAAACAATTTCAATGCAAACTGGTTTAACCTTGGCATTGCTCTGTGCTTGCAGCACAAAACTGGGGACACATCTGCTTGCATCTGTTTAGAGTGCAACATCTGTGCTAAAACCAGGTATTTACCCTGCAGCATGAGACAGTAAGCACTGCATGATAGTTAAACATTTTAATATGTGCAGCTGAATTCAATCTTAATGAATTCAAAAGCTTTTAATGTTGGAAAGCTGCAAAAATTTCTGAAGGTAATTAATGGGCTTCTAATATTTCAGTCTCCTAGACAGATAAAAAAGCCTTGAAGGACTGTAAAGACATGCAGGGGACGAGAATTAAAAATAGGAGCACTGAATTGGGGTTGAGGGGACAGCAGTTCAAGTCTCTATTGGATGGACTATTCTTCCAGAAACTGTGAATGACCAAAAAATGTCAGAAGAAACATAACACCACAAATTACAAAGAGCAAAGCTTGATTAATTGATAAGGAAAATTTTCCTTATTACTGTATTTATTTAAATTCCTGCATAAACATAAATGAAAATGGAGGTAGTAAGAAGGCATCCAGTAAATAAGAACTGGCTAACAAGCAGTAGGAAAGAGCTCTTAAGTATAATATTCCGTTCCCCTCACCAGAATGTTGAAGGGATATGAAAACTCCCCAACTATTTTACTCCATTGCTATCCATCTACTTTTATCACCCTGCCAAAGTCAAAGAATCACACCATTTTTTAAAAATTGCAGCTATTGATTTATCTTTTTCCCTGTTCTTGTAGGAGATATATGACTCATGAAGGGTTCCTCTGGTTGGTTTTGGCTTTGTTATTTTTGAACGAAAACTTCTCATTCTTCCCTCCCATTTGTTCCTCTATATATTCCAGAGACACCAGAACTGAAACCAATAAAAAAGAGATACTGACATCCCTGGTCTTTCAAAGGTCAACCACCACAGTAAAGAACACCCTTGGTGGTTTCCTTACTCGACTGGAAGAAGGACAAAGACAAAGCTCACATGCTCTTTGCAGAGACAGTCCACCTAACTGAATCCCCACAGCCACATTAGACAAAATTTATTTGTACAGCAAGAATCACATCATCAGCCTAAGGAAATAGGGATCATTTGGGAATTAAATAAACCTAAGTCTCTGTATCACAACAAACAAATGAGATTACCCTATGCTACCAGTATCATCACCCAAATACAGCTCTTATGTACCCTTTAATTACTGATGAGAACTCCTGGCCCCATTGAAGAAGCTGTTCAACCTTCTCAGAGTTTATCTAAGGGACATAGCATTTATAAATATTGATTCACTCTCTCTGCTTAGTGAAAGCATCCACAGACAAAGGTTGGTTGGTTGCTGCACATAATCAGAATTCATTCTGGTAGGACTTCTCTTCTACTTTCCTAGTTTAATTAACACCTCCTGATTTCAAACTATTTTTAACAAGTCATTTTTCTTCAATCAAAGGGTAAATGCTTTTTCAAGAATGTCACTCATCTCAATTATCCATCATTTTATAGTTTCCTGACAAGCCTCAAGAGATTCTACGATAGAAATAAAATCTACAGCTGAATTAAAGTCACTGCACAGCTCAATGGGAACAATCAGATGTTGAAAAAACCCAACACAATCAGGGTAGTGTGAACATCCTCTCCCACAGCTCCTGCTTGTTCCTTGGGCAGGTCACCAGAGAACAGTGTCACATACCTGGAGCTCAGCTGAACCAGACTCTGCAAAGGAAACTTCCCACTTTAGTTCAAAAAGGGATATGACAAATTCTGGATGAAAAACCCCACGGAGGGTTATTAAACACAGAGATAAGACTTCTGGCTTAGAAAGCACCAAGCAAAAGCCAAAGAAGTCCTCTAAGAAATAGCACAACATGCCTGACCTCACGTATGTTACTTGCTAGAGAGGGAGGTCACTGCACAGCATTCCAGTCCAAACCTGTGTCCTGCAGGATCAGTGAGACAACATCGACTGTCTCCTGTCAACACACAGAATCCCCCACAAAGGAAGGATGATCCAGCTGGAACTTTCTCACGTCCGTTAACTGCAGTAAAGATCAACTGGAAAAGTTAACTGCAGTATGTAATTCAAATATTTCAATGTTCAGGTCATTACTCATTTTTCAAGGCTGTTATGCAAAACTGTTTTATCACGTAACTTACATAAGTAACAGTTATTTTAGCTTCCAAATTCCCCATAAACATTGGTGAATTTTTCCAAATAAAAGTCAGAAAATACCTATTTTCTGGAGGGTTTTCAGACAGTATCTCACATCAGTCAGAGCTGGAACAATTTACTTTGGCCCCTCCAAATCAGTCAGAAAAGCCAATAGAAAGTATCTGTGGTAGTTTTATCCCAGCAGCCTTCTGTGACTTCAGCATAGGATAAAGTCAAAACCATTGAATCTGTTGGAGGAATGAGCACAGTTCCTTGGCCACACACAACAGGCAGTGAACAGTGGCTGGAACAGGCCCCTGGATGTCTATCCTGTTACGTCCCTTCAGCAATCTGGGGACTGGTGGGATGGCAGGAGATTGGAACAAGGAGCAGAGGACCAGTTCTGGGAAGAGCTGGATGACTCTGAGTACAACGAAACCAATCCAGGGTAGATCCACAAAAAGGTTCTCAGGACCGTTTTTGCCCTGCCACCCCCTGTCCCCCTCCCATTACAGTGACAACCAGACAAAGTGCCTTAAGGGTGATATTTTAATTTCCTTATATGGGAACCACAGTCCAACATTTGGAATGGCTACTGTCCTTTCTGCATCCTCTGAAGGCACTGTAAGCCACTGGCACAGCCTGTGCCAAGACAATTCATCAGCAGTGCTCAGGTTCAGCTCCACATGCTCTGGAATTCAGATTAACAGATGTAAAAGTCTGAAGTACTATCAGGCTCCAAGAAATTCTAATTACTCAGCAAAAAAAAAGGCCTTTCCATATAAAATGGAAATTTAAATGAAAATATTAGATTACTAAATCCCCATTTGTACATTTAAATACAGAGCTTTCCCTTCTCTTCAGGAAAGACAAAGTGAAAGTAAAGCACAGAGTTTTCAAAGTGCTTTTCTACTGGGAAAGGAACAAATGAGCCACTGGTGTGTGATAGGTGAGAAGGGGAAGGGCAAGCAGAGAGTAGGAGAAAAGACAGCTCCGAGTAAGAGCAGCAAAAACATCACAAGGGCCATGCACTGTTTCCTTCCAGGCAGCCCTTCCCTGCCAAGCATCCTGGGTTTTCTCTCTGTAAGTAGGGTAATGCTCAGAGAAGGGAAAAGGAGGGGGATCCATTTCCTTCCCGCTACCATACTGAAGTGGAAAGACTTGCTGCAAAGCCACACAGCTTTCCATTTCCAGTGTGTGATCAGCTCCCAGGAGGAAGCACACACACTACTTGGCAGCCTTATTCCCAGAGCTGGGAGTTAAACCACGGGTCCAGTTCAAAATTCCAAAGCTTTTTTCCTCTCAAGGTTTTCTACCACTTTATTTCAGCCATCAGAAAGTATCTTCCTATTTCCTTTAGGAAACTAGAGCTTAGGTTTATTTGACTGCTTAAACAAAGTAATTTTCAAAACCCAATCAAATCCTGCCTGTAGTATTCCATGCGCTTTTTTCACGGGGAAAATTTCATGTTCTCACAGCACACGAAGCAGCTGATTAAACAGCAAACAGAATGCTTGCAAGGCTTCATTTGATACCACTCCTACTTCAGCTGCACATCAGGTAATGAATGCAATGGAAAAGAAGAAAACCCAAGTGAATGGCAAATCGCCCAAGCCCTGCAGCAGCTCCGTCCGCAGGGAAAGGCAGTTCAGGGAACTCACCTGAAGAGAATGAATCCATGTACTGGATATCCAGGAGTTGTTCACCCTCTGGGAGGAAGCAATTCAATAATGTCCAGGTTTGTTTTAAAGAGTTTAAGGAATCTTCACAAGTCACAACCTCCATGATTAATTTTAAGATCAGCATTATAAAAAAAAAAATCTTTTGATAACGATACAGATGAGCCAACTATGCACTGAGAAAATGAAAAGTAACTACAAGAAGATCATAAATACAAAATTTATGTGGAATTTCAGTAAAAATAGCCATAGTATAAATTTGCAACACTTCCATGTAACAGACAATGCTGTACAACATTTCCAGGAAGAAAACCCACATTCCACGTGCCACCCAGCACGAGGGCAGCAGATACAGAGCATTCCAAGACACACATACAAGTTTCACACAGAGCCCAAGGACAGAGGTTTTAAACACTGGATGGATTTCCATCTTCTTGAAAAAGCAACCCGATGGACTTTCTGAATGACTTGTTGTTAAGCATTCTGGTTCAGATCTCTCAGGGAGAGATCCCAGTGCATGAAGCCAAATTGATATTTAAACTGGTTCTCCACAATCTTAGAATTAATTTTTGACACACAGCTCCAGCTCACAAGCCTTACAGCCCGGTCCCTAATCAAAACATTTCGAACAGTGTCAGCAGCAGCTTCTCCAAGGCCATTTTGTCTATACTGAGGTTGCAAGAACGAGTTCCAATTTTTTATGATTAATCACAACAGAACAGAGATACTAGAACACTCAGACTGCACAAAAGGTTGATCCTGATTTTTTGGAAACACACCAAGTCTAATACTATTGCAATAGTCTAATTAGTACTACTTGCACGATTCAATTAAAATGTGTTTTAGTGATCCTGGAAAGTATATTAACATGACACTTTTACTGAATTCTAATAGTTTTTCCGTTAAACATAAATTTAGCCTTTACAGTGTTTTCTACCTGCAGTTTGCCAGAAAAACATTAGTCAGAGTTGAGTACCTCCAGCATCATGCTCCAACTAATTTCCTACAAACGTAAAACTAAGATGGAGAGATCATTGCACAGTAACTCTTTTTCTGTGATCTTTGTAATGAGATAGTCCAATACATGCCATATATAGTCAAACCCAAGTCAGCATTAATATTCCCTACTTCATTAAGGAAAACAGGAGCAACAACATCCATATTACGTTTATGAGCCATTAGAAGCCTGGCATAGCTCATGTCCAGATCCAGGAGACAGATTAATAGAGAGATGATCTGCTATCACCTGCTGCCTGATTACTTAATCCCTACTCATCAGTGATTCTACAGTTTGGTCTATTACGATGGAAAACACTTATTATCTTCAGTTTAAATAATCCAAACTCAACTGTGACATGCAGCAACAGCGGAAACATTAGCAGAGGCTTCGGAAACTCACCACACAAAGGAGCATCTGATCTTTCTCACGCCATCTCACAACCTGTGTACCTTGTAGGACAAAGTGCCATTTGTGGTTTTGTTTGCTTTTGAAATCCAAAGGCACTGTAATAAAACCCAATTGTCTAATCAAACAAACAGCCCAAACAGCTCAGGCTGAGCACCAATAACAGGTACACTTGACTTTTTCATACTCCACTTTCCCAACAGCACACAAGAAAATCACTGTGAGGTATAAGGATGCTCTGTATCTTTTAAAGTCAAAACCTCTTTAAACAGCAGGAAAGAACATTAGATGAGTGGCATCAGGACACTTCACAAAAATGAAGAGAAACTGAATTAAAATTTAGGATGCACATGCTCCCTCCTGCACAGAGTGCCACAAGACCCTCTGCAGTACAAAATATCCTCTGGTACACAACCAAAGGCATCACTGCCCTTGATCTGTGCTGGGTACAGGCCCACAGGTTTTTCAGTGTCCAGTACGTTTGGATCCACAACTGAGGGAACACGGCTATTCTTCTCTTACCAAGTTCATGGAACTGAACCTATACACCAACTCCTGCTCGTCTCATGTCTGTGGCTACACTCCTGGTTTTCTTTCAGACTTGTATGAGCTCCTGAATATCCTGATAATGATAAAAGAAAACACATCACTGAAACAATTCCGTACTCCGAACTTTTGAGTGCACAGTTCTTCCCTTCAGACTGGTGGCCACACAGTTTTCTTCAGTTTTGCAAAAGAAAGTTTAGCTTCTAAAAAGCTGCTGAGTACCTCAAGTGCTACTGAGCTCTGCTGTCTGTCAGCCTCTGCAATTGCTCAGTTACATGGGACAACACCCAAGCAACACAAGACGAACTGTTTTCATTATAGTGCAATGTATCTATGTTTATCAACTGTATGTTCTCACCTATGTGAAAGTACATTTCCATGTGTCCACTGTATTGAATTCATGCTCCAGACTGGAACAATTCCTTAAGAAATGTCATATTCAGGATATGCAGTAGAATTTAGTTCTTTGAGCAGCTCCAATAGACAATGCAAAGTTTCTACCATATAGTTCCAAAGCATATGAAACAGGACATAGATAAGAAGAGTTAAGCTTTCTTAGTAAATATGTTCTTTATGAGCATTTAAAATAAACAAACAACAACAACAAAACTTTCAACACAAATTGGCCCTATTAACCTCAGTCTCAAAGGAAACCAGCATGTTGCACTTGCAACTTGTCTCTTCTAATGAGAGATGATCTCATCTCTGATTACTCTTCATTCTTGAAGAACAAATTCATGCATGTTAGCAAGGTTTATGCAATATATATATATTTAAAAATAATATCAAGATTAAGACGTCTCACACACATGATCATACACCAACAAAACAGGACCATACAGGATCTCACTGTAAGTATTCCTTAACAAGAAAGACCCTTATGTATATTAAACCAAAGGAGTGATATATTGCTATCTTTAATGACCCACGTCTTCTAACCACACCTAATGTTCTCTACCTGACAGGCCATTTTCACTTGACAGTTCAACATGTGCACACATTTATTTTGATATAAGTAGCAAAACCAAAAGCTTCTTCCCATTACCCACCCATACCCCTCTCTTTTCCCAATGACAATTTCAGTGACAAAAAATAGGAAAGCTATCAAAGGTAAAACCCTAAGTGCCTCTTCAGTTAATAATACTAAAGCAGCTTGAGTTCTGCTAGAGTATTCCGAGCTGGGAATGGCAGAACTGCACTGCATGTGACAAGCTGGTATTGGCAAGAAATACACAACTTACTGCCTGCAAAGTGAATACTTCTTGCTACAATCTCGTGATGGGAACAAAGAAAACAGAAGTAGTCATGCTTTGGCAAAAATTCCCCCTGACCAAAATAATTTCCTTGAAACCTTTTAAAAGTTCCGATGTATTTTAAGCATTTAGCTGCCACCCTTTTTCTGCCTGAGGTTTTCAATTACTCTGAGTTCTTGGGTCAAAAAGCTCAGCTGACAAGGTGAGCTATGCAGCATACCCCTGGATTACCACAAACTGAGAAAAAAAACTGACAAATGGGGTATACTGCAGGGTCAACTTTCCAAACAAACAGGAATAAAAAGGAAATAGAAAAGTGCTTCAATTGAAAGGGATAAAAACAAACCCATTGTACATAACGTGTTTGATACAAGACTAGTAAGGTGCCTTCTTGCACTAGTGTATCACTTATCTGTGCTTCCGTGGCATGTGGGAGTGATAAACATTAGGAAAGTCACAGTCCTGCCAAGCTACTGCAGAGTTAGAAGCCCTGATCTTGCCTAGGTCAGTCCTTTGAGGGACACATACACAGAGATGACCATTCTCAGCTGATGAGCTAAGGCTGACACCCACTTGTCTCTCAGACAACACTGAACAGACATGATACACTGATTTTGATTGTCACGGCTAAAAAGTTACACAACACACAGCATCTGTGCTTATCAAATAAAGTAAGTAAGTAATAGCTTAAAAAAAAGAGAAGCTGCTGACAGGGCAGAGGTTTTGCTTAAACACAAAAAACAACTCAACTGTAAGCTTCAGTTTCAGGCATAGAGCCTGATAATTCTTTGGTCCAAGTGTACAAAATACACCACTGGGAAAAACTACAGTTCCCTCTCAGTCACCTGACTTTTCCGCTGTCTTACTGAGCTTTCAGTCTCTGAATCAGCTAAAGGTTTTTCACTTAAGTCTTCCATTTCTTCTTCCCCTGATTCTTTTCCAAGTGCTAAATCCTCCTCTGAGTCATTAGCACTCGAGCTTGCTGCATCTTCCCCATCTGAGAGATCTTTCATGTCTGCAGTCTCTTCTGCATCATCTGCAGAGAGCTCTGCAGCCTCCTCTGGTTCTTCTAATGCTGCATTCTCCACATTCTCCTTGGTAATTGCTTCTTCTAAACAAAACAAGAATTTCAAAGACTTAAGTCAGACTGAATCCCAGAACAACATCCTTTGAAGTTTCATCATCACATATGTATTCTGAAATACTGATGGACATTACAATTGACTGGGGTTATTATTCCACCTGGGATTGGAACTAGATGATCTTTAAGGTCCATCCCAAACCATTCTGTGGTTGAAAACTTGTGCAGGACCACATTTTCCTTATTTTTCAATTATTCGAACAAATCTTCAGTAGTATTTCCCCTCCACATTCATTTGTTTTTCCTGCCTATCAGGCATGGGTAACTTTCATTTTGCTCCAAGTTACAAACTGAAGACAAATTAATTTTACTTGACTCCTGGATTATTGTTTCACATCTGAGTCCTTAACAGCATACTGCCCTCCCTCGTACAAGTTTGCACTTAGCCCTATAGCACCTCACCCCCTTAAGAGCTCTTACCAGATGTTTCAGCACTCCATTTGGACTTGGATGGGCAGAGGCAGTCTGAAATCAAAACCAGTATCTGTGTAAAGAGGAAAAAGGCATTTATTAGCAATACATCCCCAAAGTCCCTGCACTATTAAGTATTTTTCTACTCATCCTTTTTCGATAGATAAAAATTACTGGTTTAGAAAAATTTCTTTTGCTTAGAGATAAGAGCTAAATAAAAACATGGGGAAAAGTGCTTTCTCAGTGTGTTCCAACCAGCATTCACTGCCTTCTACTACCCATCTTCTGCCTCCTACTTCCCTAAATTTATTCAGTACTGAAACTCCTTGCATCTTAAGATGCACAGAACACAGATGAGGATTTTTTATTTCTTGAGAATTTATGAAATAATCTCGGCCAAGATTTTCTGTATTTGGGGATGTTATTCCATCCTTACCCCTGGCTTCCCAATACATGATGTATACTTCCACATTTTGTGCCTGTTAAACTGCCCAGTGCAGAACACACACAATACAAACACAAGGAAACATTTGTGTCTCATTGTCACATGCTAAGAATAATGCAAAGAAAAAGAGAGATGACATCATATGAAAGAAACATTTCAGTCACCAAAAAGCTTTTTAGAAAGAGCTGAGAGATTAACTTCACACTTTTTTCAGCTTTTTCAGTTTGTTTGGGGTTTTTTAAGCGAAGGAAGAAGGAAAGTTTCCTTTAAATCATCGTATTCCTGTGCTCCTAGTTACGCTAAATTGATTTGCACTGATTTGGTACCATTTAGAAAAATGCAGGTGTTAAACTGGATAACGAAAGACATTTGCACATATGCAACAATTCTGTACACATATTAAGTATAATAGTGTGGGTTTGCCTAAATGCTCATGCACTGCTTTGAAATCACTTCTCAGTACTACTGAGAAACACACTCAACATTTTACTTTATTTCACTAGTATTTGGGCTGAAGGGCAGAGATCCGAGTGCCAAAACAACCTTTATGCTTCCTACAAATAACAGCAACTTAGCAGCAGGTTAAACCAGTGATCAACGTAACTATTTAAACTGTCTGGGCAGTTGCACAACGCACTAGTGGACCAAGCAACTAGTCTAAAAGAACTTCTGTTCTCATTCATATCTCCTTTTTCATCTCAGTTTCTTGTTTAATACTGATATTTGAGAGGTCAACGAGCCACATCACTCAAATATTCTGAGAGGAAACAATCAGCACCACAGGTAAAGCAACTGAACTGTCTGCACTGCTGAAACAGGACTCAGGTTATGGTTCTTAACATATATAGC